TTGTACAAATATTAGGTTAACATATGATATTTTTTATCTGCCGTCTTTAGCTAAATGATTGAATCGTCCAAGATTTGTTTGTTAGTAAATAATGATTTTTATTCGAACATTTTCTATATTTTGTGTTCAAAATTTTCAATGTCAATAACAGTTAAATAGATTGACATCAGTACAACTTGAAAAATATTGTATGTGAAGTGAAATTCATCAGTATTCATATTCATACAAATATACACTTGGAAAAATATAAGAGAATTTCTAGAAAATAAGCTAAATGGGTTGGTTACAATTTCTCCTTTGTCACTTCAGATTGTGTGATTGAAGTTGATGAAAATTTGAATATTGTATTTTGTTTCTTGAGACCGATTATTTCATCATCAATGGTTAGCGGTACTACTCACCTGGCTATATGTAACCACAGGGTACTCGTTGCCGCAGCGACCATCATCCAGGCGGCGAAGAAAGGCACCGCCGTCGCGAGGATCGTCACTTTCCTGCCGAAGTAGTCGACGATGTTGGCGGCAGCGAGGGCGCCCGCGACGGCGCCGATGAGCGGCATCACCGCCATCCACAACCCCTCTTCGTTGCTGATGCACAGCGTCGAGTTGGTGTTGTTGAGGATTTGGGGCAGCGTCGGCGAGGGCCAGCCGTAGTGCATGCCGTCGGAGACGATGGCCAGGTTACCTGGAACGACAATTTATTTTTTATGCAGAGAAACACCTCAAATTTTTATAAAAAAAATGTTCATTGTTAAACGAAAACTTTGTTATTTAGAAATAGCATAATTTTGCTCGAAATAGATTTAATTTTATTGACTTTTTAAAATAATGCAAAGATTTACAAGTCATGTGCGATGTTTTCATACATACCAACTGATATTTTCAATATTGTGAAATCTTTTACATTTAACATGAAGTCGAGAATAGACCTTCGATACATTAAGTAAAATTAGAACTATTTGTCATTAAATTTTTTCTTAAATCCAAACAACTAAACTTCACATACATTTCAAAATTCGCACAGTCGAATTATTTTTATTGTCTTCATATCGCTTACGATATTATCAGATACCTTGACAATGTATACAAATGACTGAACAACAATGTAATGAAAATTGACCATTTTTATGCCTCACGAAAATTTAATAATTTCTTATTCTAACGCTCCGTTAACTCGTCTTGTAATTTTTCTCCACCTTTGGGATAAATTGGTGCATAAATGTAAATACGAGATGACAACAAAATCATTGTACGTTGCCCTATTCAACGTTTGTTTGAAGGTGATTGACAATGTTTCGTGATGAATTTCACTAGTTCGGACTTCCATTATATAAAATGTTTTGAAATCCCTGAAACAAGTAAAAAGGAATAATTAAAAAAAAAATATTTCCAACTGAAGGACGAATTCTTTACACAAGATGAGGGACTGCCAATGGGATCGCCTAAATCTAAAAATCTGGCAGTGTTTTTGGTGTTGGTTTTGCTTTGTATGGAGATTCTCATTCTCTGGAGCTCTTCGTCAACGACGTCAGCTCTCCTGAATTTGCTCAAACTTTCCTTCGCATCCACTATCCTATTCTTCATTATCAAGTAGTAAGGACTTTCCGGCATCCACATGAAAGTTACGAACGCCAGCACAGGTACGACAGAAGACACAAGGGCAGTATTGGTTATGCTGAGGTAGGAACCTGGTAGAAATGAGGGTACAGACATAAGTTAATAAGTATTAATTCAAATGATATTATTGCCCAAACATATGTTTCCAGCTGTTGTAGAAATCAATTTATTTGAATGGATTGTTTAATTTTTTCATTCGAAATCAGAAATAAGAAAGAAAAAAATGTTTATCAGAGAGGAAGTGGATACATTTCAAAGCTGAACCCTAATAAAACACAGGCAATCAAATTCTCACAGTCAGCTGAAAATGATTATACTTTTTCGGATGGTAAATCAACAATAACAACTAGTAAAAGTTCAAAATTCCTGGGAATTGAGCTAGATTTTAGGCCAGATTGTGACT